AATATGAGAAAATTGTTAATTGTTAAAAAATTATAATTAAGAAATAGGAAATATTTTATGCATAATTTATATTTCTCAATAACAATATTGTTCAGAAACTCATTCTTTTCTTTTGGAAAAGAAACATTACATATTCTATTCTATCTGTCAATTACAAATTTTAATTGAAAATTAAATTGAAACTTTTTAAATTTTTTGAAAATAAAGGAAAAAATTTTACTCAAAAAAATGTTCTGTTACATTTATTTACGAATTTATTTAATTGTAAAATTATTCGAAAACATCAATAACTTTTTTTTTAAATAAATATTTAATCAATATTATTTTTCCATAGGAATTAAGGATTTGAAAAATTTCAAATTCAAATCTTTTTAAATTTAATAAATTTTAAGAATATTTTTATAAAACATGAAGATAGCGATTGCTCCGAGTCGAAGACTCGGAGTGATCGATTTCTTAATGTTTTATAATAATATTAAAGATGACCGAGCAATAAAATCATTTTTTTATATTATAAGAATATTATTACAGTAACTTTTTCAAAATTATTTTCATCATTTCAAATCAATTATTATTTTCTACAATTTTTAATTATTTTTTATGAAAATAATTGAAAAAATTTTATTATTTATAAAAATAATTGAATAATTGCGAAGGAATTTATAAAAAAATTTGTAAATAATTGAATTCCTGAGAAATTTTTATTATTTATGAAAATAATTAAATGTTTGCGTAATATTTTTGGGAATTTGAAATTAATTTGAAAACAATAATTGAACTTTGGGGAAGAATTTTGTTATTTATAAAGATAATGGGGATTTTGACGAGAATTTTTTTTAAATTTGAAAGATAATTGAATTTTATGAGAAGAATTTTATCACTCCTGAAAATAATTGAATTTCTGCAATTATTTGTAATTTTTCCAAAATAATAATATTCACTTACAATTGACTAATTGTTAGTTAATATTATTTAAATTTTTAGTAAAATTTCACTAATTTTTAGTCACCAAATTTATTAAATAAATTACTAAAACTAATTTAGTAATTACTAAAAACTTTTAATAAACCAGATTTACTAATTTTTACATAGTTTAATTTTTTCTAACAATTATTAAAAAGTCGTTTTTGTTTCATTTATAATTATTGAAAAATTATTATTGTTAATTAATTATTTAAAAAATCGTCCACGAAAACTAACAATTAATAAAATTTTACCATTTGTTATAGTATTTTTCACTAATTTAGATTTAGAGATAAAATTAAATTAACCAAAAAAAAAATTGTTTACAGAGAAAATGAAAAATTAAAAATAATAAGATCGAAAAGAGAAAAAAATTAGAAAGAAAAAGGGGAGATGAATATTTAGAACAGAAAATTCCAAACATTAATCACATATAGCCTTCGAATTCCATGCGTGTTGCGAAAACATAAGTCGATATTTGCCATTATAGAGCTAACAAAATCTAGCTTCTTTCGAGTAGTTGAGAATGTTGAGATTTCCTCCCTAAGTGAATGAGTTGCCATTAGTTCTAATTGACCGAAATCTGGGCGAAGTCAATAATAATTGCTATCAAATTTCTTCATCAAAAACTCCTTTTTTCTCTACTTAACTACTTAACCTCCTTAAGCCACTTTTCGTGAGTTCAAAAGAAAACATTTCCATTTTTTAATTAATCCACCTGTAATTATCTCCTCCATGTATAATAAAAACCCCTCAATAAAAAAATTGATCTAAATTCCTAGAAACGTAAAATAATAATATCAACTTTTCCGTTTTAAAATAAAAAGTATATATGAGTACAAGGAACGAAAAGAAAGGAATTTGAAAATTTTTTCAAAGTTCGAGAGTCAGATAAAAAATGGAATAAAATTATTACATAAACTTATAAATATTCCTAGCCTCTTTAATTATTTCATGTTTCCTATATTAATCAATCTTCTTTGTCCACTAATAAAATCAACATAAAATATCATAATATGGCCTTTTTAAAATGTGCAGTTCGATTAAATTGAACTCTCTATCCATAAACCAACACCTTTACACCTCTATATGTATATCAAGTATCTCGAAACATAGTTACATTGAAGATCGAATATGAAAATTTGCCAAGTCAATAAAAACCAGAGTTACAAGAGCACAAAAGCTAAAAGATAAGAATTTTTAACCTCCATAGATATGTATTCGAAAATTATTTAAAATTATTTATTATTTATTAATTATTGTAATTACAATTAGTAGTATTTAATAAAATTAATTTCATCTACAAAATTATCAAAATTTTTTAATGGCAATTATTCTACTATTATATTATATTATTTTATCATATTATTATATTATTAATTAATATTTCTATTAAATATATAATTAATATTTCAATTTATATTATAATTATAATATCTTTTAGCTTTTTTGCTCTGAAACTCAGGTTTTATTATTATTTTTCTATTATTATTATTATTATTATTATTATTATTATTATTATTATTATTATTAATTACAGAATTAGTTAATATAATATTTATTAATTATTTAATTAAGATTACAAATAATATTGTAGTTATAAAATTTGTTAGCTCTCTTGCTCTTGTATCTCTGTTTTTACTATTACTATTATTATTTTTATTACACTGCAAAAAAATTAATTTGATTCAAATAACCGATTACTTGTCTATTATCAAATAAATATTTACTTGAATCAAATAAATTTTAGTTAAGTCAAATAAATTGTATTTGAACCAATAATTTCAGTATTTGAAGCAAATATCATTTAATTGACTGAAAATTTATTTGATTCAAAGAAATATTCATTTTAATTTATTAAAATAATTTTTTAAATAAGTTAATTTTTTTTTAAATTAATTAATAACATTCAATGAAATTAAAAAATTGTTACTTATTTTTCCAGTACTTTTAATGGAATTCTTGGACTTTCCCTGATTTCCCGAACAAATTTTACTTTTCCTGACCTAAGGCAACCCTGAATAAATTTATTACTTTACTTATTTATTGGTTTATTATTTTTAATTTTTGAGTCATCGTTTATATCTTCTTTTTTTTCTTTAAAAAATTATTAAACTTTTATTATTAAAGGTTATTTTTATAATTAATAAAATTTTTTGCAAAAATTCAATTATTTTCAACATAATTTTAATAAATCCTTCAAAACAATTCAATTGCTTTTTTAAAATAGTAAAATCTTTGCAAAAATTCAATTATTATCATTAAAATTTCACGAAAGAATTCAATTTTTTTCTTAGTTCGTTATAAAATTTTCCAAAAGAATTCAATTATTTTCTAAAATTTTAATAAAATTCTTCATAAATATTCAATTATTTTCAATACAATCTTAACTAAATTTCTACAAAGAATTTAAATTTTCATCGAAACAATTATATTATTTTTCAAAAATTTTAATAAAAATCTTTGCAAGATTTCAATTATTTTCATAAATAATAACATTTTTCAAAAGATTTCAATTATGTTCAAAAATTTAAATAAAATTCTTCCTAAAAATTGAATTATCTTCATAAAAAGTAAAATTCTTTTGAAGATTTTAATTCTTCGGAGGATTTCAATTAAATTCAAAAATTTTAATAAAATTCTTCGCAAGAATTCAATTATCATCATAAAAAATAAAATTCTTTGGAAGATTTCAATTATTTTCAATTAATAATAAAATTCTTCGGAGGATTTCAATTATTTTCAAAAATTCCAAACAAATTCTTGTCAAGAATTCCATTTTTTACAAAAATAATTGAATTCTTCGGAGGATTTCAATTATTTTCAAAAATTTGAAATACATTCTCGTCAAGAAATTCTTTTGAAGTAAAATTTTTCGCAAAAATCATTTTGAAAATTATTTTAAAAAGTTAAAAAAATTCTTTTTTTAATTAAATCATTTTCAAAATTTACAATTGAAATTATTCAAAAAACTACATTATTTAAAAAAACACAAAGAAATTCTTCAAAAGAATTTAATTATTTTCTATGTTTTGATAAAATTCCTTTGAATGAATTAAATTATTTTGGAAAATTGTAATAAAATTCATAGAAGAATTTAATTTTTTTCTAAAAATTTTAACAAAATTCAATAATTAAATGTTTAATTTCAATTATTAAGAAACATAATTATTTTAAAAAATTGAAAGAAATTGTTTATAAAATTAAATAACATTCAGAATTTTCAATTAAAATTATTTAAGAAACTCCATTATTTAAAAATAATTCAAAGAAATTCTTAAAAAAAAATTTTTTTTTAAATTTTAATAAGATTTTTCTCGAGAATTCGAAAATTTTCATAAATAATAAAATTCTGCGAAGAAATTCAATTATACTCAAATTTTTTGACAAAATTCTTTGCGAGAATTCAACGATTTTTAATACATTAATTTTAAAATTGAAAATATTTGAAAAGAAAAATTATTAAAACAGTTATGAAACAAAAAAGCAAACAACAACTAACTTCAAACTGCGAACAGATTATCGGAATACAACGATTATTAATATAGAAGATATTAATATTAATATTAATAAATGTAATTTTATTAGTATTAATATTGATAAATATAACTCAAGCCAATAAATAATTTTTCAGTGAAAAAAAACAGTGAGAAAAGAAATCATTTCTTTACCATTTCTTTTAAAAAGGTTTTCTATTTTTCATAGAAAAAAAATTTCTTTTAACCACGCGACGGTTGAAATTGAATTTTCAGTCTACGTTTTTTTCCAATAACCGCGCATTTTTTATGCTGCTGCGACAGATTCCTTTTGTTCATATAATTTACATTTGAGGTGCATTGTCTCGATTAACATGCAGTATCGGCGAGGTCTCCCCAATATCAACTATACTACCCCTGTGTTGTAGCTGCGGCTGGCCTTGAGTCCACGCCGCAAGGGGGTTGGTGGGGATTTACTAGGTCTTAGCACAGGTCCTAAGGATCCTCAAGAGTTGGGCTTACACCTCAAACTCAGTAGTCGATTGAGAGCCAACGTGTGCACAGGACTTGAATTCCTGTTTCTCATCAACAGCATCCACCCATTCTCTCTCGACACCCTTTTTTATAATTATATATACATAACACATTTTTTTCGCCGGTCTTTTTACATATTTATGTATATAATTCTCATTTTTCCCTCACCTCCAATAAAAAATCAATTTTAACTTCGCGAAAACTTAAAAAAAAACACACACACACACTTTCCCACGAATATCGTCGCGGGAAAGTAATCTCGGCTAAATTATGTGACCGCGTATATTAATGCGTACGTGAGTGCGCGACTTTAAGACAATAAACTTTATTTTTTGGTGAGTCTACGAATTATTTTTAAATTTGCATTACAATTTTTTAGATTTTACTGGTTTTTTTTAAATGTTTGAGTTCGAATCATTTAATTCAATTTGAAAATTTTCATTTTTAAATTTCACAATTGAAACAAATTTTTAGTAAATTAAATATTTACGAACTTAGTGAATATTTAATTCCATTTAAAAACTAATTTTACACTTAAGACAAATTTTTATTTTCAATATTAAATATTCACGAAATTAGTGAATATTTAATTGAATTTAAAAACTAATTTTAGTTGAAACAAATTTTTATTTTTGTATCAAATATTTCCAAATTAGTAAATATTTAATTAGAAAAATTAATTTTACAGTTAAAATAAATTATGTTTTACTAATAAATATTTACGAAATTAGTGAATATTTAATTAAATTTAAAAACTAATTTCAGTTAAAATAAATTTTTATTTTTAGTGTCAAATATTCACAAAATTCGTGAATATTGAATTAAAAAAAATTATTTTACAGTTAAAACAAATTTTTATTTTTTACTATTAAATATTTACAAAACTAGTGAATGTTCAATTAAATTTAAAAATGAATTTTTCAGTTGAAACAAATTTTTACTTTTTATACTTTTAAATATTAACAAAATTAGTGAATATAAAATAGTTCAATTTTGTTACATGGAAAAGGAAATTAAAAAAATTGAAACAACTTTTAAAAAATGTTTAACAAGTAAAATTTTTTTTCCCTATTAAAGAGCTTCGAAATTCAAATTCGATAACTTTACGTAACATTTAAAAAAAACTAAAAAAAATTTAAATTAAAAAAAAATAAATTAGAATTTTTTTAAAAAATGAAAAAAAAATTTAATTCCGAAAAAAGAAAATTGCTAAATAGAAAAGTTTGACACGAAGAGAAATTAATGACAAATGTAAGAATGTTGCCAAAAGAATGAATACAAGTTACATCAGTAGTTAATTTATTGGCATCGAAGCTTTGAACGCGAAATGGGTTAACTGCATGTGATGACGTCATTCGCTTTTGTGTCCATTATTTCCTCATGTGTCAAACCTGAGGACCTTCGAAATCATTGATAATGCCAACAAAAATGTATTAAAAATTCCCTCAACAATTTTATTATTCTTTTTCACATTTTCTTATTCTCAGAAAAAAAAAGAATTCTATTTCTTTATAAAATTATTTTTATTTTTTTTTCTTTATAGATATTTATTTTCTATTTATTTTAATTTACACAAAATGCACGAATTATTTATTTTCCCTCTTTGTGAAGAAATGAGAAAATAAAAGAAAATAAAAATAAATATTATTCTATCGATTCGAATTTAACAAACGAAATTATTGTTTTTAACTAAATAAAAATTATTTATGGGCAAATTAAGTTAATAAATTAAAAATTGTTCATTGCAGGTATAAATAAATATTCATTAAATATTAATTTTAATTATTCATAAGAAAAGTTAAAAAAATTTTTACGTGATAAATAATTTAATTCATAAATTTTAAAAATTTAGAAAAAAATTTTTTATGTGGTGAATAATTTAATTCATTAATCAAAATATAAAAAAAAATTCTATGATGTTGATAAATTAAAATTTGATTATTTATTCAAATAAAAATATTATCGTAGTTCATAATAAATATATACGTAGAGAAAAGAAAATTGTAAGAATACGTGTAAGTAAAAAACTCAAGAACTTTGCAAAATGTGTTTCCGATCGCGTGGTATGATAATTCTTTTTAAAATGCTAGTGCTCTGCAATTCAAATCTTTTTCAAAACCTAAATGTCAAACTGAAGGAGTACTTTTTTCTAAAGTGACTAATATTTGTCGATGCATTTTTACTACATTTTTATATTTTATTAATAAATTATTCCGTTTCATTAAAATAAGAATAGTAATAAACAAAATAAGAATTCATATTCAATAGAAATATAATTTTGCAAAAAAAATTTTACTTGTTAAACAATATTTAAAAGAATTCGAAATAATTCAAAAGAATAATAAAATTCTAATTCAAAAGAAAAATAAATTAAATAAATATCAATAACTTTAAAAATTTACAACAAAAAAATAGTAAAAGTTTTTTCTTATAATAATAATAATAATAATAATAATAATAATAATAATAATAATAATAATAATAATAATAATAATAATAATAATCATAATTTTTATAATTTATTTACTCAATTAATCAGTTAAAGAAAAAAAAATTAAATAAATATCAATAATTTTGAAAATTTACAATAAAAAAATAGTAAAAGTTTTTTCGTATGCGAATTTTTAATCTGGAAATTATTTAATTTATTTACTCAATTAATCAATTAAAGAAAAATAAAATAAATATCAATAATTTCGAAAATTTACAACAACAAAAAAGTAAAAGTTTTTTCGTCAGCGAATTTTTAATCTAAAAATTATTTAATTTATTTACTGAATTAATCGATTAATAATTAAAAGTTGTTTCAATATTGATGCACACCAATATGTAAAGAAAATTATTTAATTAACTAGTCTAACTAAATTAATAATAATTTGAATCAAATACTCTGTCAAAATAAAATTTCATACAGTTCACCTGGAACAGCGATAAGTTTCTCTATAATAGCGAAAGTTTATTTTTATTTAAATATATTATAATTATAAAATTAAAAAAATAAATAAAAATTTCGCTAATATAGTGAAATTTTTTAGTTGTTTCAGGTAAAAATTTTTTTTAAATATCTCATTCAAGTATTTGATTCAGTTAAAAAATTATCTCACACGAAAATTGTTTAATGCAAATGCTATTATATACATATTTTTTTCTAATTAAAAAATATCAGATAAATCGAAAAAGAAAATGAAAAAAAATTCGATTGAACAAAGGGATTTTCGATAGCGTTTTCTCGTCTCGTTTGACCCGTTCACCATTGAGTCGCCGAGTTCCTCGTACCGTTCGGACTCAGGCCCGGACCTCGTCGATCGAATTGCCGATCGTATCGCCGAGGACTTTAGCGATTCTGAGTTTTCTGAGGACGATTTAATACGCAATACTTGCGACAGTTTCGTCGTGTTGATGAGCGACTCTTTTGAGGTTATATCCTTGCCGGCCGAAATGATACAGGTATTTTTTCCCCTCACACGATTTTCAAAAATGTTGAATATTCAAGAAACCCAATTTTTACTTCCAATTTTTTTTTCAAATTTATATTTTTTTCTTCAAACTATTAAATAAAAATAAAACTTTAAAACCGCTGACTAAATTTAATTTTTCAAATTACTAATTGAAACAAAACTAAATTTTTAAACCGCTAATTAAATTTGTTTCAAATTACTAATTGAAAAAAACTACACTGAAAAAAATGACTTGATACAAATAAGCAATTACTTGTTCATTGGCAAATAAATATTTACTTCAATCAGATAATTTTTATTTAAATCAAATAAATTTTATTTGTACCAATAATTTCTGTATTTGAAGCAAACCTCATTTAATTGACTTAAATAAAAATTATTATTTAATTATTTGATATAAATAAATATTTATATGATAATAGACAAGTAATCGTTTATTTGCCTGAAATAAATTTTTTTCCAGTGTGTAAACTAATAAAAAGTACTAAAAAAATACTAAGAACTACCAAAAAGTATTAAAAAAATACTAAGAACTACTATAATATACTAAAAAAAATACTGAGAACTAGTTTAAACCAGTAACTACTCCAAACTACTAAAAACGAAGATAATTTTTTCAAATTACTACTGAAAATCGAGAAAGAGAAAAAAAAAAATTCATTGCGTGTCTGACTATACATTGTTGTTACTACTGCCGACTCTGTCTGACCAAATATTTCCATTACTACTGCATGTATTCTACTCCGTTTTCTTTTTAATTATTAAAAAAATTATTATCTTTCAATACAGAAAATTAAATTTAAAAGCAAATTAAAATCTAGGTTAAACAAATTCCAAGAAATTTTAATTAATTGTTAAATTTATTTTCCATTGAATTTAAAATTCAGTGTTACATTTTTCCTTTTGAAAAAAAAAGTTGAAAGAAATTTTTATACAGAACAAAAAGAACAAGGACTAAATTTAAATAATTTTATATTTTTACTGATTATCAATTAAACATTAATTCTTAATCCCCTAAAGTAACCATATTAAGCAATTATCATTTCTAGAATCCAATCTTCCTTTTAATCATATTTTGATAAAAATCGTCGGAGACGTGATTTGAGAAATATTAGTTTTTAATTACAAGACATGAAAATATTACACTAAACAAAAACATGGAAAAAAATTTGAATAACAATTAATTTTATAGAATAATATTATTCAAATAATAACCTACTTTCCTACACTTACTATTTTTCTATCATCCCTTCATTATTCCTTTTGTGTTAAATAAATTAAATAATAATAATAATAATAATAATAATAATAATATTATTTTTATTATTATTATTTACAAATTATGAAAATTAGTAATCAACAACTGATAATAATAAATAAATAAAATAATTATTTTATAAATTGCAATAATTATACACTCTCTAAATATGAATTAGTAAAATTTACTAATAAATATAGTAACTTTTAGCTAGTAATTTATTAATAAATATTTTTACTAATTTGCTATTAAATTTTACTAATAAATATAGTAATTTCTACTAATTTATTAGTGAATATTTTTACTAATTCAAGCAAGTAAACTAAATTTTATAATTCAATTTTATAAATTGCAATAATTTAGTTCATTTATAATTATTGTATTTATTCTATAAATTAATCAACATTAATTACAATAATTAGCGAATTTTTTCTTGACTTTATTTCCCCAATTTGAAATAATTTTACTGTTAAATTCAAAAGTCCTTTCTCTAATTTTTTATTTATACGTTACGAGTAAAAATATTGATATATAAATTATTAACTAAACAATTTTTGCTTTTTTTTTTTTGAAAAACGAGAAAAATAAATGAGGTTTTGATTTTCAGCCGGCAAGCTACGGCAAAAAGAGCAATACGTGGTATGCAACCCCCGGTGGGGGTGCAAGTAGGGGTGGAGGTGCTGGTACTGGATTGGGTGGAGGCGGAGGAGTCGGAGTGTGGCAAAGCAGAAGTACCCCGGCAGTGGCAAGTCTTAGCAGGAAAGCGTCTATCACCGACGAAGCCCCCCCTCCTGGGGGTGGAAAACCCTCTTCCGGTCGCGTCATTCGTATTGTCAACAACCTCGATCACACGGTTCAGGTAAATTTTATTATTTTATATCTATTTTATTCAATTCTTGGCACTCTAAATTTCAATTGGTCAAAATGTTTATTAATTTGAATTAGTGACTGAATTGTTGTTTTTATATTAGTAAATTTCACTAATAAAACAGTAATTTCTACTAATTTATTAGTAAAATTTACTTATTCAACAGCAAAAGTGAATTAGTAAATTTTATTATTAGTAAATTTTACTAAATCATATTTAATTTAATTTAATTTTTTGAATAAGTAAATTTTACTAATAAATAATAATTTCTACTAATTTATTAGTAAATTTGTCTAATAATTAGTAATTTCTGATAATTTATCAAAAAAATATACTTTTTTAAAAGCAAAAGTGAATTAGTAAATTTTTCTAATTCAAATTTAATTTAATTTAATTTTTTTAATTAGTAAATTTTACTAATTCAAATTTAATTTAATTTGATTTTTTTAATTAGTAAATTTTACTAAAAAATAATAATATCTACTAATTTATTAGTAAATTTTACTAATAATTAGTAATTTCTACTAATTTATTAGTAAAATGTACTTATTCAAAAGCAAAAGTGAATTAGTAAATTTTATTTATTACTAAATTTTACTAATACAAATTTAATTTAATTTAATTTTTTTAATTAGTAAATTTTATTAATAAATAGTAATTTTTCCAAATTTATTAATAAAATTTACAAATTTAAAAACGAAAATCAGTCACTAATTCTATTCTGCTAATAACAATTCTAATCATAAAATATATAACAATTATAATTATAAATTATATTTTATAACATAACTTTTATATTTTAAAATTACTCTTATTATTTATAACTGAATTTTATAAATTTTTATATTTAAAAATTTCCAATTGTTATTGCACTGAAAAAAAATTTATTTGATTCAAATAACCGATTAGTGGACTATTATCAATTAAATATTTAATTGAATCAAATAATATTTATTAGAGTCAATTAAATGGTATTTGCTTCAAATACTGAAATTATTGGTTCAAATATAATTTAATTGACTCTAATAAATATTATTTGATTCAAGTAAATATTTACTTGATAACAGTCGATTAATCGGATTTTTGAATCAAATAAATTTTTTTTTTCTTTGTGCAAATTAATTGTTATCAAATGCTATTAATTAATAATTTATATTTAATTATTATTAAAATATTTAATTTCTTATAATTATAAAACCCTAAAAATTAATTCACTAAATTAACAAAATTTTTAAAACAGTGCCGAGTGCTCTTGAATCTTCGAACGTCCCAACCGTTCGAGGAAGTGCTCGAGGATTTGGGCCAAGTGCTCAAAATGAACGGGGCCAAGAGAATGTTTACTGTCTCAGGACAAGAGGTTCGTTCCAAATCCAATTAATTACACCAACCTATTAAATTCACTAGTGATATTTGAAAGAAGAACCATTTATAAAACGACCATCATTTATAAAAAAACAATTTCTAAAATACGATTTCAAAATTAGTTATAATTTATTTTTATTTAATTTAATTTTCATTATTTTATTTACCCCCTAAATAATTTGAATAAAACACTAAAAATTGAAATACTACACCAACTACTTCAACACTAACTCTAAATGAATTACTAATTAAAGCACCAACTGCAAATGAATAATAAATTCAAATCTTAATTGTTAATTACAATGTGTTTTTAAATTCTATCGAAAAACACAAGAAAAAAATACCCTCGTTATTAATTTTAATTTTGTTTTAAAATGTACATGTAATATTGTAATAAGGGTGAGAAAAATTCCTACGACCCGAATATGTCGTTTTCGAATAAACTCGACCCCGATCGTCACGCTTAGTTTTCGTTTCTAAAAGAGCGCACGGTTCCGACCGGACCAGCATCATTACCCATTTTTTTCATTTAATTGTCGATTTGCATATTTTATAATAGGACAATGTGTAAAAACATCTTTTTCTCGTTTAAGATAAAATAAATTACAATAAAAAAAATCCCCATGTGAGGTGTTTTTATAAAATCTCAACTTCTTAAATATTAATCAATCACTTTCAAATCACTCGCTATGTAAGAACACGCACAACTTCATTATGTAAATATATTTCCACGCCAGCGTCTCTATGATGTGTCTAGATTACAATCGGTTCAATGTTATTAGTTTGTGTTAAAAAAAATATATATAATAGAATAATCACTTTCACTCCAATAAATTAGTGAAATTTATTTTTCCCTTCATTATAGTTTCTATTCTCGATTATATATTTTTGTCAATTAGCTCGCAAACATTAGAATTAAGAGAGAAATTTTATTTAAACTAAAACTGTTTAAAATTTATTTTATTTATTCTATTTTTTCTTTTTCTCTTTTTTTCTTTTTTCATTTCTCTCTATTTTTTTCTCTTTTGTACCTATTTTATTTACTCTATTTCTTTTTATTTTATTTATTTACTATTTATTTCAGAAAAATTATTATTTGGAATTATTAACGTATTTCGTGTTTTAAAATAAATAAATTAAAATTTACAAGAAAAATTTTTTACTATTCTTTTTTTAATTTGTGTTTCTTAATTTAAATTAAAATTATTAAAAACATAAGTAGATTATTGTTTTTTCTTTTTTTAATTCTAATAATAATAAATTAAAACCTTTAGCACAATGTTACGCTTTGTAAATTTATTTACAACAATTTTTTCATTAGCTAGAGTTTTTTTAACAAATTTTTTATTTAGCAGAATATTTTATTAATGAAGAATCCGACAAACAATCGAAACAAAAGTTGGTCCAATGTAATAATTTCGTATTTTAAAAGAAAAAGACAAATTTTTTTAATTCGTTCTGGTAGCAACGTAAAGACTTTAGTTTTCGATATTTTAAACAATTAAAAACTGCATTTAAATAAAAATTACACTTCTTTTATCCTCTCTAAATCTGAATCAGCGATAAGTATGCCACTATTTCAATTAGCGTATATGCGCTGTGAATTAGTGAAATTTCACTAAATAATCAGTGAAACTTCACTGATTAATTAGCGCATATACGCTGTTTTAAAATAGTGGCATACTTATCGCTGAGAATCAGTGAAATTTCGCTGATTCAGATTTAGAGAGTCAGTAAGCAACAATTTTTTTTATATTTTTAACTTTTCAGATGTAGATATCATGATCTAAAATTTGACAAATATTTCTTATTGACAAGAAATTGTAATTTTTATTCAAATGCAAATTTTAATTGTTAAAAATATTGAGAATTAAAATTTTTACACTTCTACCAAAACGAATTAAAATTTTTGTCTTTTTCTTTTAAATTACAAAATTATAACATTAAATTAACTTTTTTAGACTGTCCGTCAGATTCTTCTTTAATTAAATTTCCAAGATCCTAAAATTTTAAACGTTAAAATGAACGAAATTTATTTATTTCTTCTTCAAATTAAATTTTTATTCCTATAATTTTGCTTCTCTACCAAAAAAATTAATTGTAAAGTTTCAAAATTAAATTTTTATTACTATAATTTTGCTTCTCTATCAAAAAAATTAATTGTAAACTTTCAAAATGTAAAATTTAAGTTTTTAATTTTACAAATTTAATTATCAATTAAATTAATTAAAATTTTAAAAATTAATTGTAATCAGTAATTTATGAAAATAGGGGCCGTTCAAAAAATACGTAACGCTTTAGGGGGGAGAGGGGGTCAAGCTATTTGTTACGGTCAGCAGAAAAAATGGCGCTAATGTATACAACATTGCGTTACATGGGGGGAGGGGGGTCCAAATTTCCGAAAAATAGCGTTACGTATTTTTTGAACGGCCCCATATTTTGTTCATTTGAACGTTCAAAACTTGTGGATCTTGAATTTTCAATTAACCGAACTGTTAACTGTAATTAATTTTTAATAAACTGTTGCAGCAACAAAATTTTATTGATATAAATTTTCACTTGTTCACTGAAAAAAAATTATTATCAAATAAATATTTACTTGTATCATATAATTTTTCTTTGAGTCAATTATATTGTATTTGATTCAAATACTGAAATAATGATTTATTTATTTATATATTTATTTATTATGATTCACTTGCGAATGAAATAAAAATTATTTGAATCAAGTAAATATTTATTTGACAATAGACAATCGGTTATTTGAATCAAATAAATTTCTTTTTCAGTGAATAAGTAAAAATTTTCATTATTTTTATTTTATTTGACGAAATTTCAATGTGGCGGAATTTTTTCTAAGCTTAATTTTCTCGTTAACTAATTAAATTCCTCGATACCTAATCAACTAAAAAATAGAGGCTAATTTTGATTATTTGTAATCGTATGAAAGAGTTTGGAAAAACAAATCAATATTTTCCAAGAAAGAAAAATAATTTCGAGAGTGATTAAAATGAAAGATTAATAAAAGTCCAATATGACAATTAGAGATAAAAATCAGAGATCCATAATGATTAAAATGAATTTCAACCCTCTCGAGTCAGTAATTATGATTCAAATCACAAAACATTTTTAAACTGAGGCCACTCACTTCCGACTTTTCTGATGAATCTAATTCTCTCTCTCTTTTTCTACTTGATTTCCTATTTATTATTCCTTCTTAAACTAATGTAAATATTTCTTATGTATATAATTTTCTCTATTTCGTGATATTTTCTTTTCAAAAAACATAAAAGACCCTCCTCCCTCACAATGGAAATTTTATCCTCGGCCTCGTTTTTAAAGAAGGTCCCTTTTCTTCCTTTCCTTTATTTAGACTATTAGACGCGATTATACACACCTACAGTTATGCCCAACTAGGCCGATTAGAGAAAAAGGTCAGAGATCCGCGTCTTTCAGGTCACGACCGCATATGAATTTCAAATCAAAAAGCAATTTTCCTATCTACAAAGTCTTCGCAGGTGAAAATCACAAACGCCTACATTTCACATGTAACACACGTAAATGTCTCTTCTATCAAATTCAATAGTTTTCTCTCTTTCGATCCTATTTTAATTTGAATATTTTATCCTTGATAATGCGCGTGGTGGCAATAAAATAAAAAATAGGTACGAAGTTTCTCACAATTGAGAAATGAATTTGCCGATGTGGATACATTTTATTTGGGAATTGGCGCTGGTACCGGAATTGGTACGGCCCTGGGTTCACCAGCGAGAAGATCGCGATCTCGTGGACCATCAACTGTTGTCGAGGATATTGGACGACAAAGGAGGGCACGCAGCAAGAGTAGACCACGAGCTTTGTACGCTCCTGAATCCGAAGTAGTAAGAGTCAATGGTGAGAATTATTTTATTTAAAAAACTATTTAAAATAATTTAAACAATTTTTGAAATACATTAAAAGCTAATTGTAATAACCCTTTTACACGAACAAAAAAATTTACTAGACTTAATAACCGTTAACTTGTCTATTATCATTAAATAAATATTTACTTGAATCAAATAATTTTTATTTAAGTCAAATAAATTGTATTTGAATCAATAACTTCAGTATTTGGAAGAAAAGTATTTTACGAATTTCAATTATTCGCAAATTCCTCAATTAAATATAAATTAGAAAATAAACACTTAAAATAATATAAAAAAAAATTCAATTACACTTTTTCAAAAAATTAATTTCAAATTTCAATTATTTCTAAAAATTCAAGCTAGATTTCTTTTAATATTCAATTATTATCTAAAATTTTAATTGAAATTCATTTTTAAATCAATTTTTATTGGAAAATTCTACTAGAATTCAATTATTTAAATACAAAAATAAATAATTTATTCAATAATTGAATGTTTATTAAAATTCAATTCTCATAAAGAATTTTATAAACAAATTTTTAAATAATTGAATTCTTTCGACAAATTATAATAAAATTTTTAAGAAGAACTGCATTTTTCGAGAAATTCAATTAAAATTCTATTTCATTAAAATTGAAGTTTCTCGAAGAATTACTTTAAAATTTTAACATATTAAAAAATTTAACTGATTTCAACAGAATTTAAATTTTTCAAAAAAAATTAGTTGTACAGAATTATTGATTGAAAGTACTAAAAATTCAGATTATGAAAGATTTTAATTTTAAACCTTTTCAAAATTCAATCATTTCTAAAAATTCATGTAACAATATTTTTAATATTTAATTATTATCTAGAATTTTAACTAAAATTAAATATTAAATCAATTCTTATTAAAAAATTCTACGAGAATTCAATTATTTAAATACAAAAATAAATAATTTTTGAATAAGTGAATGTTTATTTAAACAAATTTTTAAATAATTGAATTCTTTTGACGAATTTTATTAAATTTTTTAAGAATAATTGCATTTTTCGAGGGATACAATTAAAATTGTACTAAAAATAATTGAAATTCTGCGATGAGTTTTATGAAAATAATTGAATTCTTGTACCGAACTTTATTGAAATTTTTAAAACTAATTGAATTCATGAAAAGTATTTGATTGAAATTTCTGAAAACAATTGAATTTTCTAAAAAATTTTATAATTTGTGAAAATAATTGAATTTTTACGAAGAATTTTTTTAAAACTTGAGAAATAATTGAATTTTCGACAAGAATTTTATAAAAATTGTAAATAATTGAATTCCCGAGAAGTATTTTATTAAAATTTTTGAAAATAATTGAATTCTCAAGAAGAATTGTATTACTTTTAAAAATAATTGATATACTTTTAAAGAAGTTTATTAATTTTTTTTAAATAATTGAATTCTTGCGATGAATTTGATAAAAATCTTTTTAAGTAATTCATTTTTTTTTTAAAATGTTATGAAAATTGTGTTTTAAATAATTGAATTGCTGTAAAAATTTTATTATTTAATAAAAATAATTGAATTGCTGTAGAAATTTTATTATTTATTAGAAATAATTGAATGCTTGCAAATAATTTTATAAAAGTTTTTTTTTAACTAGTTCAATTCTTTTGAAAAATTCTATTAAAATAGTAGATATTGAGAATCATTGAGTTGAGGAAAATTTTTGAAAATAATTGAAATTTTGCCAAGAATTTGATTAAAATTTCTGAAAATAATTGAATTTCGGAGAAGAATTTTATTATTTCTAAAGATAATTGAAAATTTGAAGAGAATTTTTTTTTAAATTTTTTAACATAGTTGAATTTTTGCGATGAATTTTATTACTTTTTAAAATAATTGAATTTCTACAATCATTTCTAATTTTTCTAAAATTTTCCAAATTATAACGTACAATTTACAAACTTTTCGTCCTTTTTCAATTAATTAACGGACTTTACTGAAGAAAAATTTATTTGATTTTATAAATTTTTCAACAGTTCAAAGAATTTTACGCCACAATAATTTAATTAATTCAAATATTCGACTACTTTTCTATCATCTAATAAATATTTACTTGAATCAAATAATTTTCCTTTAAATTAAATAAATTGCATTTGAACCAAAAATCTTTGTACTTGACACAAATACTATTTAATCAAATAATAATTAACACAAATAAATATTTATTTGATAATAAACAAGTAATGGTTTATTTGAATAAAATTATAATTTTCTTTAACAAAATCAATCTGTAATTATTTTCTTTTCCAAATGGAATTGCAGATTATAGTGTTGTAGAAGTATTAAGAGAAGAACCAGCGAGAGTTACAATTAGAGGTTTGAGACGATCATTCTATCCACCCTCTCATTTACCACCGGTTGACAATTCACCGCCAGACAAAAAATTACAATTAGAATGGGTTTATGGATATCGCGGGACCGATACGCGAAGAAATCTTTGGGTACTGCCAAGTGGAGAACTACTTTATTATGTCGCTGCCGTTGCCGTTCTCTTTGATAGAGAAGAAAATGCTCAACGACATTACGTTGGACATACGGAGGATATCACTTGCATGGAGGTATTTTAAATTTAAATAAATAAAAAATTTAATAGTAATCAACGAATAATTAATTTTCTTAATATTGTCTGGCAAATTACTTGATTGTTTAACCTAATTCCCATTTTATCATAATTGTAAGAAATAATTATTTTATCTAATTCTGATGTAGATCAATATTTGCCATTTTTATTTTATTTAATCTCAACATTTTTTATTTTCATTTATTATAATTTACCTTATATTTTTCCACCTAATTTTTTAACCCAGTTTCTGTTTAACATTATTTTTATAGTCAACTGAATATTTGACTTTCTGACTTATTTGGTCAATTTGACCTTATTTGACCTATTTACCTTTTTATTCATTCTAGTAGTTATTTGACCTAATTTTATTTAGCTCAATATTTCTTTCATTTAGTTTTATTAGTTCATATTTATTTGAACTAATTTTTATTCAGCCTCACGAGAAATCTAGATTATAGTAAAAAAAATACAAAGTTTGTCTTTTTCAGAATTATCAAAGTATCTAAATTTTGTTTAATTTAGTTCAATGATTAAAAATTTTAAAGAAAAAAAATGTAATTAATAAATAATTTTTTTTCAATTAAGGTGCATCCTAGCAGAGAATTAGTTGCTTCCGGTCAAAGAGCCGGAAGGCACAGAAAAGCACAACCTCATGTTCGAATTTGGTCAACAGAAACTCTTCTCACTCTTTACGTTTTTGGAATGACGGAATTTCAAATGGGCGTTTCCGCTCTTGCCTTTTCACAATTGGTAAGAAACTAAACTTTTATTTTTATTTACAAAAGACTTTTAAACTTTCTTTCGATTATAGTTTCTTTTAATTAATTTCATTAATCAAGAACATTTTTCTAAATATTTCTAATATATTTAGATATTAATATCGAAATCTAATATATTTCTAAATATTTCACCACTTAATGAACTTGTCAAAAAAAAGAAATTATTCATTTTTATTCCAAACACTTTTTTACCAATGTGAATTGAATTTGTTAAAAAAAAATTTATGAATTAAATTTGTTACAAAATTTTAAGAATTTAATTCGTTAAAAACAATTCAAGAATTTATTTTGGTAAAAAAAAATTAGAAACTTCGAATATTTTACCAGAATTAAGTTTGTGAAAAATTTCAGAATGGGGGAAGTTACGTTTTGGTTGTCGACGCTGGTAGGGAAGCAATTCTTTCTGTTTGGCAATGGCAATGGGGACATTTACTCGGCAAAGTGGCGGTGAGTATTAATTATAATATTAATTACATACCTTTCAACACTCGTATTAAAGAAACAAATATCAACTGCATACCTTTTGTGAATTTGTTGAATATTTTTTGTAGTTGAAGAACCAATGGAACGACTTTCGGAAAAACATGTGCACTTTCATCCCTTTCATCTGAAAAATAAAAAGAAAATTACATTACACAAGAATATTTATTATTTTTTTTTTACTTCAAAAGCACCAGCAATTAGTAGAATAAATAATTAATCTAATAATTATTAGCTTGCTTTATTTTATAAAATTAAACACTGCTCAAGACTGTTTTTTAAACTCTGCGTTAAGAATATGTGAAAAACCTAACCTCAAAAAATTAAGTCAATATATTTTTGTAATAATACATTAAAACTTTTATCATCCGACACCAATTCACACTTTTCAATAAAATACACTCTTCCAATGATAAATTTTGATCATAATTTGACTGAAATTGACGAAAATAATTTAGACTTTGCATCTGTATGTTCAATTCAGAGCATTGCATTTGTTATATTTCCAGAGCACAAATGTTAAAAATTCTTAAATATTTGAAATCGAAATGCTGAATTAATTGATGCTACTAAACCGGAATTTGCCCAAGATTAGAATTTTATTCAGTTTTTCTTTTAAAAAAGTACAAAATAATGACAATTATTAGTAAACATTGCACGACAATAACCTAGTTTTTTTTGTTTTTCACTGTGAAACACTGTGAAAGCAGGCACAGAACTTCAGAATTCTAAAGAATTGCCAACCTAAATACTGAAAATCTAAATTTTGCACTTATCTTACATATTTAATTTTATTAATAATAAATTTAATTGATTTAAATTTAATTAAAAATTAATTATCGTGATTAATTTTTAATATTATTTCAAAAGAATGATTACAATTACTATATGCAATTTTCTATAAGCAATGAACTTACGAAAATATTTTGTAGGTTAGGATCGCCCAGCTGAGTAATGAAATCATAGAAATATTTCACTAATTTCAGAAGAATCATTAAAATTATTAACACTACTTCACCGGAATTACACAGTAATTAGAATTTAACAAGATTTACATTAAAAACTATCAAAAAATATCAAATTTCAAGTAAATATTTGCAGGTCAATTGCCCGACTTGCAAACTTTTCAACAGATGGATATAGAATGAGAGAAATGTGCAAGTTTGCCAACCTAAATATTGAAAAACTAAATTTTCCACAAATTAATTGTACAAAAAAAATTAAACAAATCACTTTGATTATGGTTAATAATTTAATATTTAGAGTTATTTTAAAAGAATGACGACAATTACTATTGTATTTTTCTATAAATAATTAATTTACGACAATATATTTTGTAGGTTAGGGTCGTCCCGCTGAGTAAAGAAATCATAGAACTGTTCCATTAATTTCAGGCGAATCGTTAAAATTATTAATGCTAATTGACCGGAATTACCTAATAATTAGAATTTAGCAAGATTTACACTAAAAACTATCAAAAAATATTAATTTTCAAGTAAATATTCAGAGGCGATGTTCCTACCTTATGGCGTCTGGCAACAGATTCGGAAGTAGTACAGGGTTGCCAACCTACAAATAATGTCTGAGACATTCAAGCGCGCGAAAATTTAAAATTTTAATTTAATATAAATATTAATTTTCTCAATTTTTAATACAGTTTTCAATATATTTTATATTTTTTTTAATTCCTAACTAATTTTCTTACTTTTTCTTCATAAATGATTTTATTTCTCCTGACATTATTGCCTACTTTATAATAGTCAAATAATTAAATTCTCAATTCAAAAATTTGTTATTTGATTTTTATAGTGTTCATTTAATTAACTTATATAAAATTGATAAAATTAATAAATCTTCCGACCGTTATTTTAAAAAATAAAATTCTCTATTTTAGTAAATTAACTAATTAACTGATTAGTTAATTATTATTAATATTAATAACCACTATTAATACAAATAAATATAATGTAGGATTTATTTAATAATAATTGTAATAAAAAATAATAAAATTAATAGATAATAATTTTATTATTTTTATTAATTAATACCAATTAATTAATTATTAATTTTAATTAATATTATTAATCAACGATAATTATATTATTAAGTAAATAAACTTTCTATTGATCATTGTTTACGGCGGTAGAGATTAAGAGAACTAATTAAATTATTTATTTATTAAGAGAAAGAATTAATAAAATATTGTTACTTACAGACACTGCAGGAAGATTTGACTGGAGCAGCTTTTCATCCTCTCGATGACAATCTTTTAATCACTCATGGTCGAGGTCATTTAACATTTTGGAATCGAAGAAAGGACGGATTCTTTGAGAGAACCGACATTATTAAACCTGTAAGTCAAAATATTTCAAAAAAAATTCAGAAAAAACAAATAATGAATAAAAATAAAGTCGACGATAAATTAGAATAAATTAAATTACATAAATTTAAAATAAACAAAAACAACGAAATGTATATAATTAAATGCATTCAATTCTTATATCAATCAATTAGTTAAAATAAGTATTAAAATTAGTAAACATAAAATAAAGAAATTACAGTTAAATTAATTACATCAGAAAACTGCGAATGAAGAGAAAATTGCACGTATTAAAATAGAAAACAATAATTATAAATTACCGTGAAAATTGTTTTCAGCCCTCTAGAACGCACGTGACAAGTATTCAATTTGAACAAGATGGTGACGTTGTCACTGCCGATAGTGATGGATTTATTACAATTTACTCGGTCGATGCTGATGGAGCTTATTTTGTTCGTATGGAATTTGAAGCTCACAACAAAGGCATCAGTTGCTTGGTGATGCTTTCCGAGGGCACATTACTCTCCGGTGGTGAAAAAGATCGAAAAATTGCTGCATGGGACTCCTTGCAAAACTACAAACGAATAACAGACACAAAGGTGAAATTTTGCAAATAGATTTACATCGATTTTCTATTAAATAAATAAATAAATAAATAAATGCATAATATAATATAATGATACAAATTCAATAATAAATAATATAAAGTAAAGAAATAACAAGAAATGAATGATAAATAATATAAAACCAATAGAAACAAATAAATATGAAATAAACAAAAGTACAAAAATTTATAATTAAACATTTTCTGTAATTCTCTATTTTAATATTTCTAATTTTTTTTTCCTTGTGATAATTTAGAATTATTTAGAATTATTTTCATAAATAATAAAATCTTCTAAGCAATTAAATTATTTTCAATACAATTTTAATAAAATTTCTCGAAAGAATACAATTATTTTTAAAAATATTAATTAAATTCGATTATTTTCAAGAATTTTAATATAAATTAAATTATTTTCAACAATTTTGATGAAATTCTTTTTAAAAAATCATTATTTTCAAAATTTTTAATAAAATTCCTCTAAAAAAATTCAATTATTATCAAAAATTAAGATTAAATTCTTCGAAACAATTCAATTATTTTTATGAATTGTTAAATCCTCCGCAAAAATTCAATTATTTTCATAAATAATAAAATTCTTCAAAGAAATTCAATTATTTTCATATACAATAAAATGTTTCGGAGGAATTAAATTATTTTCAATACAATTTTAATAAAATTTCTCGAAAGAATACAATTATTTTAAAACATATTATTTAAATTCAATTATTTTCAACAATTCTGATAAAAAATTCTTCGAAACAATTCAAGATAATTTTAATAAAATTTCTCTAGCAGGTTCAATTATTTTTAAAAATTGTCATAAAATTTTTCTAAGCAATTCAATTGTTCTCAAAAGTTTTTAATAAAATCGTTTGTAAATTTCAATTATTTTCAAAACTTTCAATTAAAATTACTTCAAACAATTCATTATTTTTACGATATTTAAAGAAATTCTTAAAACAAAATGTAATTATTTACAAAAACTCTAATAAAATTGTTTGAAAGAATTAAATTTTTTATGAATAATTTTAATATAATTTAATATTTGAATTTAATTTTCAAATTTTTTTATAAATATACTTTACAACAATTCAATGATTTTCAGTACATCGACAATATAATTATTTCTGATAACTGAATTCTTGAATAGAATTTTAGTAAAATTTTTCTAAATAATTGAATCCCTGCGAAAAAATTTATTATTTCTGGAAATAATTAAATTTTTTCAAAATTTTAAAAAATAAGTGGATTTTTTAGAAAAATTCAATTAAAATTGTATTAAAAATAAGTGAAATCCTGATAAGAATTTTATTATTCATATAAAAATAAATAATTTTTCTACAATTATTACAAATAATTAAATTCTTGATAAAATTCAATTACTTTTAAAATTTTCAGTACATTAATTTTGAAATTTAAAAAAAACTTTTCTGTAATTCGTTGTAATATTCTGTAATTTAATTCTGTAATATTTGCTATTTTCTTTCTTTTCGGTAATTTTATATTTTATTGTATCTATGAAAGAAATATTTCTAAAATTACTTGCAATGTAGTTACCAGAATCTGCCGGTGGAGTGCGAAGTATTTATCCCCAACGGCCAGGAAGGAATGACGGCAACATTTACGTTGGAACAACGCGAAATAATATTTTGGAAGGTTCTCTTCAGAGACGTTTCAACCAAGTTGTGTTCGGTCATGGACGACAGCTTTGGGGTTTGGCTGTTCATCCGGACGATGAAGTTTTTGCAACCGCTGGTCACGATAAGAATATCGCTTTATGGAGACGACACAAATTACTTTGGACCACTCAGGTAGAAACCATCTTCTATTGAATCCTCTATCTGCAATTTAACAAAAATTAATATATTCGGTTAAGAAAATAATAAAATTTTTAAACTTATTTTTATTAAAAAGAAATAAAATTTAAATTACAAAAAAAGTAAAATTCAATAAAAAAATTATATGAATAATAATTCGAAATATTAATATAATATTTTAATTTTAATTGTAACCTTTAATTTCCATTTTTCACTAAAAATTTCCAGGTTGGTTTTGAGTGCATTTGCATTGCTTTCCATCCTTTCGGAGTCGCTCTCGCCGCAGGTTCTTCCGAGGGTCATCTCTTAGTTTTGGCAGCTGACACTGGAGCTGCAGTGGCAACGCTGAGAGTTTGTGGATCTCCCTTGTCCTGTATTGGTTACAATCCAAGTACGTCCTAAAAATTAAAATTACTGTCAATAATTCTTTTCAAATTTAATTTATAGACAAAATTTATACTCTTTGACGTTAATTATTAATTTCGATTATTTCTCAATTAAATAAAAAATATTCTAGCTGGCGAAATGGTAGCAATGGGCTCACAAAACGGAAGTGTATATTTGTTTAAAGTATCACGAGATGGATTCTCGTATAAGAAGAGCAATAAAATTAGAGGAACACAACCTTTAGTTCAACTCGACTGGAGTTCCGACAGTCGATTCTTACAAACAGTCACACAAGATTATGATCTTGTTTTTTGTAAGTTTTTCACATTATTAAGCATTCAAAGTAAATAATAATAAAATAATATAGTAAACTAATTAATTTTATAAACATTTATAATTTTATAAGTTTATGAATTAATTAAGTTGTTAATCTGACTATTTATAATTAAAAATAAGATAATAATAATATTATAAAAAATTAAAAATATTAAATTAAATCAAAAACATTTCTTTCAGGGGACGTTAAGGCTCTATCGTCAGAAAAGAGTCCTTTAGTTATGAAAGACGTGAAATGGTACACTTATAACTGCACCGTTGGATTTATGGTGTCAGGTAATTAATTTTCCTAAATTAATAATCAAATATTTTCATTAATAATAAAAAAAGCAGTTATATAATTACAGGGTTGCCAAAAAAAATTAATTTTTTTTCTCTGATTTCCAGACTAAAGAATATTCTCTTCTATTACATTTATTTAAGAATTTCTTTAAATGTAAAATTATTCGAAAACATCAATAACTTGATTTGTAAATAAACATTTAATCATTATTATTATTATTATTCCATAGGAATTAAGATTTTTACATGAATTTAATTATTTAAAAAAATGTAGTAAAATTCGTTGCGTAAGAATTCAATTATTTTCATAAATAATAAACTTTTTCATAGGATTTCAATTATTTTTAATACAATTTTAAATGATTTCCTCGAAAAATGTAATTAATTTCAAAAATTTTTTTCAAGAATTCAATTACATTTCACCAATAACGAAATTCTTCGCTGAAATTCAAATATTTTAAAAATCTACTATTTTAATAAAATTTGTCAAAAGAATTCAATTATTTGAAAAAATGTAATAATATTCGTTACAAGAATTCAATTATTTTAATAAATAATAATATTCTTCACAGGATTTCAGTTATTTAAAAAACATTTAATGAAATTCGATGCAAAAATTCAATTATTTTCATAAATAGTAAAATTCTTCACAGGATTTCAATTATTTAAAAAAAATGTTATAAAAATTTGTTGAAAGAAATTCAATTGTTTTCCTAAATAATAAGATTCTTCACAAGATTTCAATTATTTTTAATACAATTTCAAGAAAATTCTTCGAAAAAAGCAATTATTTTCAAAAATGTTATTGAAATTCTTCGAAAGAAATAAATTAACAATTATCAATTATTTTTAATAATTTTTGCTAAAGCTCCTAGAAAATTTTTTTCAAATCCATTTGTTTACAATTCAATTTTACAAAATTTTAATTATTCGGAAATTCTTTAATTAAATATTTAGAAAATAAAAACTTAAAATAATTTTTAAAAAAAATTCAATTAAACTTTTTCAAAATTCAATTATTTCTAAAAATTCACGCTACAATGCTTTTAATATTCGATTATTATCTAAAATTTTAACTGAAATTCAGTTTTAAAATAAATTTTTATTAGAAAAGTCTACGAGAATTCAATTATTTAAATACAAAAATAAATAATTTATTGAATAATTGAATGTTTCTCAAAATTAAATTCTCATCAAGAATTTTATTAAAAATTTGTTAAATAATTGAATTTTTTTAGACGAATTTTTATAAAATTTTCAAGAATAATTACATTTTTCGAGAAATTCAGTTAAAATTGTATTAAAAATAATTGAAATTCTATGATGAGTTTTATTATTCATGAAAGGAATTGAATCTCTGCAGAAAATTGTATTATTTCTGAAAATAATTGAATTATTGCGAAGAAATTTATAAAAAATTTGTAAAAAGTTGAATTCCTGGGAAATTTTTATTATTCATGAAAATAATTTAATGTTTGCTTAGAATTTTATAAAATAATTGTAAAATAATTGAATTTTGGAGAAGAATTTTATTATTTTTAAAGATAATATAAATTTTTTTTAGTGTTTTTAACTAAAATTCTTCTATACATTTATTATTTTTAATAATTAATTATATATATTAAAGAATTAAATAAAACTTCAGAAGAATTTAGATTATTAAAATATTTTAAAAATCTAAGTTTTTTATTTTTTTAAAATTCATTCAAAATTAGAAAATTTCAAATAACCTTTTGAAGTTCATTTATTTATGAAAATTGTAAGCGTAACTCTTTTAAAATTCAATTAATTAAGTTTGAAATATTTAAGGAAAATTATTCATCAAATAATTTACAAGTTATAATTTTGTGATAGTTCTTGAAGAATTAAATTATTTAAAAAGTAATTATTGTTAGAAATAGAAAAAATTGAAGATTTTGTATTAGAATTTTCTTATGAATCCTAAAAATTTAATTTTTTCCAGTGCCTAAATAAAAATCCCTGACTTTTCAATGATTTTCCTGACCTGTGGCAACCTTGAATTAATAAATTTGTAGAGAAACGTAACAAGAAATATTAAATGAATAAAAAAATTTCAGGAATGTGGAATAATCGTTATTACCCATTGACAACGGTTTTGACAACCGCGAGTCGTTCAGCAGCTCATGATATGCTCGTGAGTGGCGATGCCGAGGGTTATTTGCGTCTCTTCAGATATCCGTGCACAAGCGCAAAAGCAGAATATGTCGAGGAAAAAGTTTACAGCTCCCTCGTCGCCTGTGCTCGTTTCTTGTACAATGATCAAAATGTCGTAACCGTCGGTGGAACTGACGCTGCCTTAATGCTCTGGGAACTCGTCGACGAGTAGAGTTCAATAATAAGGATCATCATTGTTTTGCGACTAATTTCAAATATATTGATTAGATAAATCAATATTGTTTCCATTTCCAATGTTGCTCCAGCGACGTGAATATGAATTTGTAATTCCCTGCGAATATGTTTCATAAACCCAAGGATCCATTTTAGATGTTGAACGACGAGAAAATCTGTTCTTTTGTGGTTTCCAATTTTGAAGCATTATTATTGTAAAAATGCAGGAACCCGATTCCTTTCCATTTTGAAGTCGTGGAATTTTATATAGATATATATAATTCTGATTTGCAAAAATAAAAAATTATTTTGCAGAAATTCCATCAGTGAACAATATTTTGTATGAATAGGGGTTCGCACCGTGTTTGCTTAACGTGTAAGTTCATTCTTCATTCTTTCTGCAAAAAAAAGGAAACAAGATAAAAATTAAATTTCCACCTTTTGTTTAAAAGAATTGTGAATTCGACAAATTCTAAATAGAAAGTTACTAGTATTATTATTATTATAAACTATTAAAAATTAAAATTAAGTTACAATGAAAAAAATTATTTTTTCTGATTTTTTTTAATTTAGTAAATTTTTTTTTTTAATAATTTGGAAAAAAATGTACGAATTTAAAATTTGTTTTTATTCTCACCAACTTATAATTTAAGTGAAGACGGTGCAATCTAGACTAGAAGACTCATTTGCGGAGTTCACTGCGTAAAACGTCGACGAATTAGACAAAGACTCTCCTTCAGACCTATAAAAATAGAATTAGAAACTTTAATTATTCTTATTCAAAAAATAATTCAATTTTTACATTTTTCCTGATTGTATCAAGTAAAGTGTTAAAAATAATAAAAAATTTACGATCGACGAAAACTTTTTAAATCAAGTGGCACATAACTAAAGAGGACTGTTTTGTATTTTTAAAAAAAAATATCGTTTCTCAGCTGGTCTGTAATAAAAAATTTTCTTTCTCAAAAAAAATCAAAAATTTAAAAAAAATTGCAATAATGTAAAATTAATATTTAAAAATTTGACAAAAAAAATATCTCTTTTCTGCAAAATATTGTAATATTAAAACAAACAAAAAATCTGTATAAAAGATAAGAGAAAAATTTTTAATGTAAATAATTAATAGACATCTTTTTGGCACTTATTTGAAAAATAATTCTTTATCACAATTTGAAATCAAAAGCTAAAATTTAAATTTAAGAGAAAATTCTCTACACGCCTTGAACGATATTATTATAAATATTATTTATATATTACAAAATATATATAAATAATTAAACCCATGACGGTTATCACATTGTTGCCTATAACAGATAATAAATAACACAATATAGTTAAATATTTAGATAGAGTAGAGAAAGTAGTAAAAATCATTTTAAAAGAACCAAAGAAAAAAAAAAACTTTTTTGAAAAGAGGTGCTGGCGCCTCTTTATATTAATATAAGTATATTGTTAAATATAGCCTTTATAATTAGTAAATCATAATTTCGATATCAATCTCGTCCTCGCTCCTTCATTGCCATTTGTAACATGCACATACTAACTAAAGAGTATACGTATCATATATTATATATATATTATATATAAAAATTATATAAACGTATATAAAAAATGCTGTTGCAGGTCAACGCTTAGTATAAATAATAAAATTTCTTCGTTCACTTGTTTTATGAATAAATGAAAAGAATCAAAAAAAAAAAAAGAAAAAAAAAACAGAATGCACATCATAAATGATAAAAAGTGTAATACATGTAGGAAGTGATGGACGTTCAAAACTTTCCAACAAAAAAAAAAGTTTAAAACGTCCGGGGAAATGTTCTAGTCTCAATAAAAAAAGCATGATGAAAAATTTCTCTTTTCTTTTCATCCTTATCAAAAACTATTAAATTAAGTTTGATTATTGTTACTAATCAAAATTAATTTCATCCTCTACGAAAAAAACTATAATTATTTCACTAAAATTAAATTAAATTTAAATAAATTAAATTTAATAAATTAAAATTAATTCCCGTAAATAATTGAAAAGATTTAAATTAAATTTTAATTGAAATGAATGTATATTTCTGAAAAGTTGACAGTTGCAAAGATTAAAGAAGGTATATAATTTTTTTAAACAATTTATTTACATTTTTATTTACATTTTCCATAATTATCCAGATAAACAATAATAAAACATTTTTTCAAATGACATCATGTTAGAAGTTCGTGATTAAAATATTGTAAAAAATGATTGTTTTATTTTTAATTTTAAAGATAAATTAGATACACATATGTTTATATTAGAGCTAAGTTATTTTTAAATTTCTAAAGAAGGAAATCATTGTGAATTTAGGTTATACAACATTAAATTATTTGTCATTTTATCTTATCAATTTTCTAACTATATTTAACTTTAATATTTACTAAAAAATTTTCTTATGCAACAATTAAAAATATTTCATTGAATGAAACAAAACAAAACAACGATTTTAAAGATTTTCAAATCTATTGACTATAAATCCATAATTTGGTAATTATAAATGGTAATTATAAATAGTAATTATAAATAGTAATTTATAATTAGTAATTTATAATTAGTATTCAAATCATCATTAGTATTAATTCAAATTATTATGATTAATTTATAATTGCATTAAAATCCATAAAAACACAATTACAAACAGTAAATACGATTTTCTTATTCGAAATAATTTCCTAATAATAAATAAAATTTAACTTAACTAATAATTTTAGCAATTGTCTCAATATTAAAAAACTTGCAGCAAACATTAAGAACATTGTTTCAATATTTTAAAACTTTCAAAACTCTCAATCTTTTTTAATAAAACGTTTGCTGCTTTTTCCATTCGAAGATACTGGATGTTTAAAAATTTGATTCGTGATAAATATTACAGTCTTAATTATTAATGCCACAATTATTAAACAGCATAGAGTAAACAATCCATAAACATCGAGCAATTCATTTTGCCACCAATACAAATTAGTTGCAGGTGATTTTAAAACATTTGGTCCATTTCGAAGTACGTACTCAACCCAAAACTTGACAGTTTCATTTATTTTCAACGGCCTGTCACGAAATAGTTGAGATTCACGTTCCGCCGACTCTCTGTAATATATTTTTACATTAAACTTTACAAATGGTGTCATTTTTCTAAAATTTAGATTATTTATCAAAAAAGGAAAAAAAAAATTACATCATTTTTCAAAAATGAAAAAAAAACAAAATACAGAATATCATATTTCTGTATGATATGGTTACCTGTAAGATGCATTATATAAAACAGAATTCAAAGCTTCAGTCAATGACTCTTCTGTTACTGTTTTATAATCCATCGAAATTGCCATTCCCTTTTTTACTAAACGCTGAACATTTGTAAATTGATCTCCAAAGACGGGAAATCCGATCATAGGTACGCCGTAATAAAGAGCCTCTGTAGTTGACAAAAGACCTCCGTGTGTCATAAATAATCGTGTATTATTGTGTCCTAAAATAGTAACAATAGTTTGTTATAATTATTACAACATATTTTGTTTGTATTATCAAAAATATAATTCAGTTATTCAAATTGAATGATTTGATTTTTATTAGAATGGAAATTTTCTTTTTTTAAAAAAAAAAGAAAAAAAAGTTAAACGAAGAAGAAATTTAGTCAGAGAATTCAATTGTTCTATCCTTACGTAAAATTGGAATTTGAGGAATCCAATTAGAAATAAGAACGTTGCTGGGAAGTCCGGGTGGTAGTTTTTCCTTATTTACGATTTTCATTAAAACCCTTATAGGCGCTATTTTTTCGAAAGATGCGTAAAATGCCAGAAGAATTTCCTTTGGAAGCGTCTCTATCAGAACCATCGATCCCAATGTGAAGAAAACAACGCCTTCTTTGCTTTCGTCCATCAATTTTTGAAAGTCCTGTAGAATTAGAATTTACAAGAATTAAAAATTAGATCTGTTGTTCGATTTTTCTCGTTTCGAAGGAAGAATTATTACCAAAATGACCTAAACCTACAGTAATATAGACAAAATTTTTCCTCAATATTAAAAATATAAAAATAAATTTAAATAAAATAAAAATAAGAGACAATAAACAAAATATCAAAAAGTTATGTTCGGTGAACATTCGAAAGACAATAAATACATTTTTTCTCAAACTTTTGGTTAATAAATCTAAACTTACCGAAGGTAATTTATTCTGGTCTTGTTCAACATGAATTCCGCCAATGTCAATTGCAGCTGGTGTTTTACTTTTAATTCCTTTATAACTATAAAACGAATTGATAAATGTGAGAGCAACAGATCTTTCCACTTCTCGTATATCCGGCATATTAGGATCTAAATATTTCCTCATTGCTTCATTTTGATATTTTCCTATACTCGTGTAAAATTCATAGTTACTTTGATGGATTTGTAAAGCATTCCAGAAACGATCCCAAAATGTGGAAACTTCAATCAAATTCAACAGTACATTTGGAACAAAAGCCGGTGAGTTTGGATTTCCAAGTGCATCGTTAACCCACGGTAATTCCATTGTTGTCACTATTGTAATTACTGGTACTTTCAAAACATGTCCTATTCCAATAAAGCATAGTGCAGTAAATGCCTGAAAATTTACAAAAAGAAAAAAATTATTTAACTCGAAGTTTTTTTAAATTCAATCGTTTTAAATGCCTAACTAGTATTTTCATAAAATTTCCAAATAGAATTCAATTATTTAAAACATTATTATTTGTAAAAATCTTCGTAAGAAATCAAATTTTTTGATTAATAATAAAAATTTCCACAAGAATTCAATTACAATGTAGAATAGAATTTACAAACAAATTTCGAAAAAAACAATTATTTAATACAATTCTTCACAATAAATCAATTACTCTCACTAAAAATAACATTTTTCTTGGAAATTCAATTTTTAAAAAAAAATTTTGATAAAATTCTAAGCAATAATTCAATTATTATCAAAAATAATAAAAACCCATCGAAGAATTCCAATTATTTTTAATACTAATCTTTAAATTAATTAATCTAAATTTTTAATTATTTTCACAAATTATTTTCAAAAATAACAAAATTTTGCACTGAAATTCAATTCTTTTTAAACAATTTAATAAAATTTTTCACAATAATTCAATTATTTTCATAAATAATAAAATTCTTCTCAGGAATTCAATTATTTTTAAAAATTTAAATAAAATTCTTAACAACTATTCAATTATTTTCATAAATGATAAAATTCTTATCAACTCTTCAATTATTTTTATAAATAATAAAATTCATCACAGGATTTTAATTATTTTTAATACATTTTTACAGGAATTACTCAAATGTAATTATTCTTATAAATTTAATTTATATTCCTCGAAAAAGTCAATAATTATTTTTAAAAAAACGTTTTTCCTTTGGAAGAATTCAATTATTTTCAAATACTTTAATAAAATTGTTAGAAAGAAATCAATTATATTAAATACAATTTTAATAAATTTTTTTTGAAATAAATCAATTATTCTTTTTAGATTTTAATCATATTCTTCGCAAGAATTGAATTATATACATAAATAATTTTTCGAAAGAATTCAATTATTAAAGATAAATATAACAATATTCATCACAAGAATTCAATTATTTTTAAAACTATTAAATTTCTTCTTGGAAAT